CAAGTTTAACGAACGTGAGTTTCGTTGAACGAAGATAAACTCGTTTCTATTCGACATTCACGAGATCGATTCCCGGTTACATCTACAAGGTGTCCTGGTGACGAGTTAACGTAAGTTTCCAAGGATTACACGTTCAACATTTTGCAACAAACGAACTAACTTTTCAACGAGCTTTATTTCAAACGAAACGATCTCATAACTAAAAAAGAAAGGATTAAATCGATAAAATAATAAAACCTGAAAAATTACACAGAATGAATGTAATAAAAAATATTATGTAAGAATAAAGTTCAAGTATTGTTCTATTTTTTTTTTCTTTCATGACGTGTTCTTAAAGTGCTTTACACTTGTCACATGTGAGCTTTTTACCGAGACAGTTTTATTAGGTAAAATAAAGAAAGAGTATCGCGATAATTCTAGTCTTTGGTGCTTAGGCGATGTCAGCCACGTAAGCTTAGAGAAGAAAAATTGTGACAAGTTTTTTTGAACACGCTCATATTTCTATTCGTCTATCATTTTTGATCGCGTCGAATATCGTTCGTTCTTGCACATATATATGCGCAAGCAACGAAAATCGAGGGAGAAACAAAAAATAATAAACAATGAAAAAGGATAGGACATTTAAGCCGATGGTATCGCATACGATATTTCATTTTTACAGGATTTTACTGACTAGATGTCGTACGGAGTAAGCCGCATTGAATGAAAATTGATTAATGCGTGATTTTATTTTGTATTCAAGTTTTAAAGGAAAAAAAGAAATAAAAAAACTAATACCCCAAAACGTTTTTGTATCACGACTAGCATAGAAAATAAACTAGGAGAATGTTGTTGTTCGTTAACGAGAACGAAACGTATCGTCCTCGTTTATTGTAGACGATGCATCTCCATTAAACGAGAAGACGGTTACAAGCTAGCAATGAAAAAAAATGCGTCATGCAAATGTGCTGGACCTTTCCAAGTGGTAACAACACAAAAAAAAAGTAGGTCCTTCGCGTGCCTACATTTCTAGAAACGACGCGAGATGGTTCGCGTTTCGTTAAAAATAGTATATATATCTCTACCGAATGAAAAGAAATACTATAAAAGAGAGTATGAAGAAATGAGAGTGCTCTTGCTGCTATTTGAAAAAATGGATAAGCTAACAAGACATTTTAAATTCGAGATCGTACTTGTATTATATAACAAATACAATAGGAATCGAGTGAACCTTTCCTCAAATGGTCTTCTAGGAGTAAAAAAAAGCTTGTTATCGATAAAATCTGTCGATAAGATGAATACACATAATACATATATGTACATAAGAGAAAATTGTTGACAAGGAAAGGATAACATTTGAGAAATGCGTTCTCGAGTAGATCACGGAGGTTCGTCGGTTTGCCACGTACCAAATCCATTCGTGTTAGCAAAGGTATATAACATAACGTAGGCGAATTTACTTTGTCGTAATAGCTATATCGATCTATATATAATCGGTGTTGGTCTAAACGAAGGAGTAGAACCACCAGTTAGAAATGATAGTCGCGTTCCTGAGAAGAGAATAGAGAACGTAAGGGGGTGGTGGAAGGGAAGAAGTGTAGCGGAGCTAGGAAAACGGGGGCGGCACAGCATTGGGTGCAAGCCGGGGGCTTGCGCTGCTTGAGGAAGGGAATGACCCCGGGTACGCGGGGTCAACCGTTGTTGAACTCTACCTTGCCCGCTACACCCATTCCCATCCCCCCTCTATCTTTCTTTCGCAACTATAAATGAGCACTCTTACGTTTTCATATTGCAGTATGCGATGACCGTAGGATAAAGAGAGATAGAGTGAAAAATAGATTAGAGATAGAATACGCCAACTAATAGCGTATTCGCTTAGCATCCATTTATCGTTGTTGGAACATAACAATTGCCAAGGAAGGCATCATCTTTCCTGGCGAATTATCCATAGGACGATGCAACGTTGAACAGTAGTAGTAGTAGTTATAGTATATAGGAAAAGATCGATGCCAAGTACTTTGGTGTGCGTTTATTTGTGAATTATATGAAAATAATCTTTTATAAGGATTAAATCGAAACGTAGGTATTTTATAATAGTTTATATTTCATTCTTTTCGATGAACAAATACGAGGATTTAAGAATCGTTAATTCTCAACGATGATAAAATAAAAATTGGAAGGGCAAAAAACGATGTAACGAAAATAAGGGAAAACAACATGCGGAAACACTTAAGAGCTAACATATGGGGGATAGTAAAAGAGATTAATGCTTGATATATTTATAATACATATATGATGGTGTGTGTACTCATTCGTATTTAGAAAGCATCCAAATTATAATAAAAGCGCTTTGGATTTCGGACAAGACTAGGATTTGCCAAAGGAAATGCATATATATACAAATGTCTACGTATACTAACGTATGAGTTAAAACTCATAGAGCATACGTCCCGAAGGATATCGCGATATGGTTCACAGGCGCCACCAAAGTTTGTGCGACCCAGAAATATCTATCAAATGTTTCGAGATTCTCTCAGCCGTTAAACTTTAAATCATATGATATCCGATGCATGCTTAAGTAATGAATTTATTTTATTCCGGTTTGAATTCGTTCATCGACTGGCGTGTCTTGAATAAAAATAAAAATAAAACTTCAACTTAATTAATCGTATATATGATAAAATCGGTAGGTCGTAACGAGAACGAGAAGTTATGTTAAAAATCGAAACACGCGATAAATTTGAATTATATTTCATAGGGCATTCTCGTGAAAGATGTACTATATGGAAAATATAAGGACAAAGGTCGTTCGTTTCTCGTCTCTTTCATAGGTAAAGAATATATTATGTGGGAGAGAGAAAAAGTAGTTTGTGACCGACTGTACACGAACGAACGAAGGAAGGAAGGAAGATGTGCCTTGAAAAAAAAGGACCGAGCTAATCGAACGTTCGATGCTGATGAAATTATCGCACAGAGCTTTAATACCGCACTGGTGGCTTCATTCATGAATGGTTTTCCAATAGAAAGAACTTCTTCGGCGTGAAAACTAGCAGAACTACCATAATCACCAGAGACGTCATTTTAAACTTTAACGAATCGACATGCTATCATTTAATTAACATTCATTAGAATCAATGAGATTGTAATTGATTATTTATACATCGACATATCGTAAAAGTAACAAACTTTGTTTCCTTTAAAATCATACGTCAAATATTTCGTTGAAAAAAAAAGATTCTTCTTCTTTGGAATGGAAGAAAAAAAAATAAAAAGAAAAATTTTCGCATTCGCACTAGCAACCACTCGAATGCAGTTTAATGGAGCATCCCTGGCGAACAAGGATAGGAGAAAATTCAATAATGCTTTGTTACCATCGTTAATCGAGCACCCCTCTCTCTCTCTCTCTCTGTTTACGACAGACTACTACGTGCCTCGGACATTTCATTTCGTCAACGTGCACGGAATGATTTCCTATTTAGAATGTGGTGCATCAAGCTTTGAAATATTCTCCCAAACAACAAATTCTCCTATCGCGAAAACTCAAGAAACCGGCAAGCTAATGAAAATTAGACTAATTTGTAAAGTGGTAAGGGAAGGAAAGTTTCAAACTTTAATACGAATAAATAAGAAAATAACGTGCTTTATAAAGAAGGATCGATAACGATGTTGGAGCAAACTGTTATCTCTCTCTCTCTCTCTCTCTCTTTTTCTTCGGTTTGATTCGATCAACGTTTTTACTACTTAATTTCTTGCGAAGTGGATAGTTGTTTAAGTAAAAAAATATTATATATAGTAATCAAATCAGAATACTTAATTTAGCTTTTCAAAAAAAAAAATTCTTTCCTTCTGACCGCGATTTTAGTTAAATAAAGAGTCATAATATTGATTACGTCATAGTGACTGCGGTCGTTGGAAGCCGCGCGGAAACGCAAGAGAAAATAAGGAAAAAAGAGGTAAAAAAAAAAAGAAAAAAAAAAAAAGAAAAAGCGATGATTGGACTGGGCGTACAGACAACGGTAGGTTCGCGCCCACCGTTAGCACGCGATCACCCTCTTGCCCTTAGCCCGTCTCTCCTACTCCTCCTTTTCGACGTCGGGCATACGTATTAATGTAATTAGAGAGTTCATTAACGCTAATTAATCCGCGTGTACCGTGACTCGTTTAACTCTGCTCAGCAACTCCGATACTTTACAAGGTAACGACATTCTTTCGAACGTTCAAAAGATTGCAACAGCTTCGTCAATTCAATTGTAGTAGAACATTTTCGAGACCAACCGAAATGAAAAAAAAAAAAAGGAACACGAAGAAAAAGGTTGAAACGATGTAATCCGAACAAAATCGTTATTATCCGTGCGTAACACTTTTCTACACTAGAAGGAACTCTTTCTCTCTCTCGTCTCGTTTTACCGTTCGCTATATTCGATCGATTTTGGAAAAAGTCTCGTCTAACGAAATTCATACATTTTTATATGATCGTCTCCAAGATTAGTTTTATAACCTTCGTAAAATATTCTCGATATATATTTTAAAGCTCTGAGAAACCTTGTTGTCAGACGGTTAGCAGAGGTGGAAGAAGTGCGAATCTGTTTTCGTTACCGTGCTCTCATCGAGCGGAAGGGACTAAAATTTCGAAAAAGCCCTTTCACCTTTTTTTTTTTTCTTTTTTTTTTCCTACAACGACTACAAAAAGACTCTACCATCCTACGACAGAGTCGTAAATTTGTCGAGAGCATAACGGTCCATCCGAAATAATTTAACCTCGCTTTATCGCCCATTTTCTTTTCTATGTCAATACGCTAGAAAAAGCTCACTTCAAAGTAAACGTTCATTCCTTTTTTATTTTTTTATTTTTTTATTTTTTTACGATAAAAGAATTTTGCCAAAAGAGAAGAGCTAACGTACACGCGTTCAAACTTTTATACACAAATTTTTTAAATATGTTGAATAGAAAAAAATTATTCGATCGATTTTCTAGGTAAGATTTCTGAATGGAAAAGGGAATAAAGGATAAGAAGACTCACCTCTGACGCTGAGGAGAGACATGGTCGAAGGTCCTCGAACTGTACGGCTTGGCTTTTATTATCGAGGGAGTCGCATTGAAAAATTCGTCCACAGCGATACTTGATGCGACGTTCGAAGATAACGTAGGAAAAAAAGGCAGATTAACGTGCAACGATGACGACAGCGTAGCACGAAATGTCGATTCTCTCCCCCGCCTCTTTTATCTCTCTCTCTTTCTCTCTCTATCTCTCTCTCTCTTCTTTTTTTGGACGAAGAAAACCCTGAAGCAAGACACTTTTCTCTCCTTCTATCCACTTCCTTTTCTCACTTTGTACGCCTCTTTTAATCGTACGTCAAAACGCGCGCACGTCTTTTTATTTTATAACGAATCGTGTAATATATGTATGTATGTATATACATATACAATATATATATATATATATACAATATATTGATATACGTGCACTTATATACATAGGCATACATATACAGTCATAGATAAAGAAAGGAAATACGATAAACATATATACGCTATGGTTTGAAATTCAGTGGCATATGGCGGTGAAGGGGGAGGGGGTAGCTACGAGGAAGTTAGGCGAATAGAGTGAGGAGGATTGGAAGAGAGTAGAACGCGATTAGAAAGAGAAAGAATGATACTTCCGAAGGCGTTCCTCTCGTATTTCCCTACTATGCACACACACACTCTCTCTCTCATACACCCTATCTCTATCACTTTTCTCTCTCTCTCTCTCTCTCTTTACACAATAAGAAGACAATGCGTCCACGTTTTAAGAAATTACAATAGAGAAATGGTCTATCGTGTTTTTTCAGTCTCTCTTTCTCCCTGTCCCTTTTTATATTTTGCCAGCACTCGCGTTTTTAAAGAATATCGTTTACCGGTACGGGGCAGCCTTGAGAAAAGTCATCACTTTTGTAAGAGTACAAACGCGGCGCAATGATAACGCACCTCGTGTAGTTTCGATAACGTTTAGACAAGAGAGAGAGAGATAATAAACGAAATTGAAGAGGTAAAATCGAGGAAGAAAAATCGCTAGTTTTAGTTCGATATTCGATTAGGTCGTGCTTGCACAAGTATTAAGGAGAAAACGAAGGTAAAAAGACACGACAGTTGGTGTCGGTCGTTCGGATGATCGCGCTTCGACTGATAGGGCGCGTAGCGTGATGATAGAAGTAGTAGTAACGAGGACCGGCTCTTGGTCACGCGCAAGCCGGTGCATCGACACCAAAAAACTTGCTTTTATCCTCGTGCTTTATCCTTGCTCCCGACGAATTATGTTTCGATCTTAGCGACTTCCTAGCCTTCGATATCTGATGCGTGCTTTTCGCTCGGTCAACGATGAAAGCTCGATCACGGCTATAGCAACGACAATAATTGTTGTTGTAATAATAATAAGAAGAAGAAAAACGATAATAGCGGCTAGTAGTCGTGCTCGATTGAAGGTCGATGGGGAGAAGAAGAATCTCGCTGGGACGCTCGGCGTTCGGATAATCCTTGTTAGCCGGCGGCCACTCGCCTTGATAATCTCTCTCGTAATCTTTCTCGTAATAATCTCTCTGATGATCGTTTTGCTCTTTAGATTTCCGAGGGCAGAAACGCAACATCGCCTTATTAGCGACAGATTCGTTGGTGCTCGCTCGCCGTCGGTGCACGTTTTCCTCTCGTTTATTATCGCGTCCTCTTGATCGTCGTCCAACGTCGTCCTCCGAACTGGAGGAGGAAGCGGAGGAAGAGGAGGAAGAGGAAGAAGAGGAAGATGAAGAGGAGGAGGAGGAGGAGGATGAGGAGGAGGTGGAAGAAGAGACTCGGCCGAGCGCCGCTCGCTTCAGGAGGAGCGCCCACCGTAAGAAGCTTCTCGTTACTATCATAGTAGCAAAAGGCGGCCTGAACACGCCGGCTCTCGCGGCACCCTAGTGATCTCGTGCGCTCGTCAAGCTACCTCGAACCACCTTCCTCCTCTCTCGTGTCCTCCCTCGCGTCCTCCCTCACGACCACCCTCGCGTCTACCCTCGCGTCCACTCTCGCGTCGTTTCGTGCTACCTCGATCGCTTAAACGCATTTCAACCCGGCGCACTTTCCTGAAAGAAAATCCTTAGGGAAATAGAAACGCGGCGAGGAAATCGAGAGGGACCAGATGAGAAAGATATCCAATGCGTGAAGACTTTACGAGGATTTCCGTGTACCCCCACGTATTCGTTCGTTCGCAAACGTTCGCTACACTTCCGTACGTGTGTGCCCGCCTGAGAAAAAAAAAGAGGATGGCGACGGAGGGTAACGGAGTTGAGGGTTCGGGGGTGGACGAGGGTGGTTGGATTGGACGGAGAGGCAGGTGGGAGGTGGGGGAAGGATGAGGAGAGTCAAGAGAAGAACGAAGGTAGAAACGCGCTCGGTAGAATGAGAAGAAACGACGTCGGTGGTGGGCGAGCGTAGGAGTCACACCGTTTTTCTACCTCCCTCCCTCACACACACTTACACACACACACGCGCATCCAGCAGACACATACAGGCAAATGCATACACACACACATGCGCGCGCGCGCACGCACGCACAAACGCATACAGAAAAGAGCTAGAGCTTTTCTTTCTTTCCGTTCGTAGTAGCGTGTTAAAGTAGCGAGTCTTGGTCCTCGTCGTTATATCGTGGTGACTTATTCGAGCGGCCGCGGCTTTAGGGAGATATCGTCTTTTCTTGAGGGACTTGTCTTCCTCGTCGTGGTTGCAGCCGTAGTTGCAGCCGTGGTTGCAGCCGTCGTTGAAGATGGTGACGCTGGTGGCAGCTACTATTCCCCGGCTTGGAGAGACAGGAAAGGCACCGTAGGACGCGGGAACGATGGGAACCCGCGAACAACAACATCGAAATTACGCCGACGATGCGCCGACGATGCGCCGAGGACGCGCCGCTGATGCGCCGATGATACGCTGATGGAACGTTGTTACGGACATCCGCGGACTGCTCGACGGTGAGCACTGTGCGGACGGAGACGCCTCCGACACGCCGCCGCCATCTTGCTACGTCAGGGCTAGGGGAGGACGCCGGCGTCGACGCTGGCGCCGAACTCAACGCTGAAGTCGACGCCGACGTAGGCGCCGGCCACCCGAGCCAACCCGAATAACACCGACCCCTCGAACGATAGTCGAACGATAGTCGAACGAGAGTCGACCGAGAGTCGACCGAAAGTCGACCCTTTGCTGAACTCACCCCCCGCCAAAGCGCTTCTTCCTTCCTTCCTTCCTTCCTTCCTACCTTCCTCGCGGATTCCGTTGATGCGACTGCCGTTCTATGCGCTCTCTCCATTGCAACCCCTTCCCTTTCCCCTTCTCGCAAACCGCTATGCCGGACGATCGAAAAGGAACTATCGATTTCTTTCTGGAAAACGTGACCGAGATTTTTCTCTTCCTACGACTCCGCTCTGGCGCTACCCCTTTCGCAAACGATCTTTTTTTCCTATTACGATGGAAGAAGAACACCGTGAATTTTTGTCAAATTATTAGATACGCTATTATACTCTAAACGTTTGACCCGTGACAACCCGTGTCTCGTTCGATCGAAACACCGCTTGGGAGAATCATAAAGTGTCGAAATAACGAGCTACGAGGTCAAGAGGTCGCTAACCTCTACCCATAATGCTACCTCTGCTGTTTCCTGTAAATTTAATCTCGTTGGAATTCTATTTCCGTTTTCCGGATCCTTTAAAATGATTTATTTCCAAACCAAAGGTATAACGTGAATTCGTCTTTATTTGATACTATATAAGGGGTGTATAACTGAGACATTCCCTTTCTTACTTTTTCTTTCTCTTTGGCTCGTATATATACAACGCCAGTATATGTGCATGGGTTTTGCAATTTTAAATCCCCCTAACAAATATTCGTCATTTCTTCGTTCTTCTCTTCTTTTTATTTTATATACATTTCTGCTCCCATATAAACCTCATATCTAACTCTATACGGTTAATTCTCATGCACATAAAATTATTTAAGTTTTAATCTTCCAGATAGTGCATTCGTATCTCTTGAAAATGAATTTCACTAACTACCGTTTACAAATCCTCCCAATATTAGTCTTACCAGCAAAGAAATACGAGAAGTGGGTAGAGTTGTATTACAACTTCTCCAACTTTAGCACTCAAAAAATATGTTTCAACGCCAGCGTTAATTTTCTTTTCCCCTTCTACCGAAGTTTCTCACTTTCCTAGTATTTACAAGTGGAGTATAAGAAAGAAGAGAGAGAGGGGTGGACCGTGTAACAACGTGATTTTCATTAACGGATGCAATGCATAATGTACTCGATAACGACGTAAAAGATGAGCGTGGAAACACAAGAGAGAAAATTGGTCGGTTAGGACGGTCGTCCTAACGTTTGCGTGTAGAAAAGTCGTAATGCAGAGTTGAACGAGCTCGAGTACACGCAACGTCTGGAATTCAAAGTTTCTTCGTTCCAGCGTTGCGCTAAAAAGCCTAGAATAGAGAAGTAGATATGGTAGCAGTTTAATGTTGTTTCATCGTCTAAAAACTATCGCATTTTCGTTAGGAACGATCACGAATAATCGTTGAAAACATTTGTGACTAGGTCGCCATAATTATTTCTATCTCTCGTTATCCTTACCTAAATATAATCTGAATATCAATGTGACTCGTAAAATGTAAATGTCTTTATCTACGAAGATAAAATATTTATGCTATAAAAATACTATACCTGGAATCAAATTCGTTGTAACTTTATCGAGAAGTGTTCTATTGTAATTTTCAATTAGCTGTCTGCACGACTGGTTCGCATCCATCGATGAGAAAACGGTGCTGCGTATATTAAGTGCTTACACTACTCGGTCGCATCCTATATAGGGTTGCTCCACTAGCTTCGATGCTGGACTCGTTTGGGCTCGTACCATTGCCTCCTATCTACTTCGAATTTCTAATGCGATCGTTAATAGGTACATAGGTATTTATATGCATACGTGTACATATCTTGACTATGGGACGAGTAAAAGAGAACGTTGTTGTATCATTATCATCCAAGAGAATACTGGAAATAAACGATTTGATTTTGGATCTGTGCTATGGAAATATCCACATGTATTCGAAACATTAATTAAAATTACAAATTTTTTCAATTTAAATAGTAAGCTCGTTAGTCGAACGAAAATAAATACAAAAGTACGACATTTCTAGTAACATAAAAGAGGATGAAATAAATATTGTGGATAGTTATTTAAAAAAATAGGAAAGTAAAGAAACTTGATATTCGTATGATTTAAATAAGATGTAGACAGTGAGATGAACGAAATCTTAGCAGACTCGGTTCGAATTAATCACGTCTGACTATTTCTAACAAGCACTCCTACACGTTATTTTAGCCACGACGAGTATAGTTCGCCCACGATTACCTCCCAGCTTGAAATGACGCAATATGATGGGTCACCTTTGGTTCTTCAACGTCGATGCCCGACAAATAATTCCTCCCTTATATTTGCTCGTATGTCTCGTGATCTTTTTAATCGAACAACTTTTATATTTCACATTTCACAATTTTTTTTTTTATTTTATGTTATATTATTATAAATACCACAATTTCAATTAATTCTATCATAATAAAGTTACATTTTATGTTTCTAATTGTTTGTACAGTTATTTCGTAAAAGTTTCAATATACTAGAAAAGTGTACTTGATTCACTTGTCAACTGAGAGAGGCTCATATATAAATAAGAAGCTTGAATGCTTCGAAAGAAAATATATTAATATTTGATGCGCGTATTCGCCGTATTCCAGTAGAATGCAACTCGTGATAGAAATCTGTGCTCGTTGCTGCTTTTCCTTCGTCCGGAACTTGGCGCAACTCCATCACCGGCAAGTTTCTCTCGCTTATTTCTCTAGGATCCATTGTGGGCTCAGACCGTGCTCCCTTTTCCTTCAATGGAGAAAACGTCGTTGGCGTGATACTCGCTAATTCGCCTTAAGATTCGAAAACGAATGTATTGCCATGACAATGGGAATATTCTTTAACGAAATATAAGATTTTTACCTGTTAGAAAGTAAGTTTAAAAGATAATATATAGATATTAGTCAATTACAAAAGCAATATTTATCGTATTCTAGAAATGGAAACGTTTGGAATGCGTTTGACATACTACAAACGTCATCGCCTACATTTGACATCAGAGATTAGAAATTCTCGTCGGTGTTACGCAAATCGAATTAATCTCTTTGAATATCTACTCCCACGAGTTAATCAACTTCTTATCTATGCCCTCCCCTATTTGTTTTAATAAAGACTTGAGAAACTGTAACTACTTTTAGTTATTATCCTTGTTTATTAAATGAATATAAGATCTACCTGTCTAGGAAAACGTCTCGACTCGTATATTACCAACCTAGCAAAGACCATCCAGTGTTGACTAGAAAAACGTGAAGGTAAAAGAGATAAAGGAAAAATAAGAGAAACGAGAACGCGTACAATGCATAAAAGTAAACGTGTGGAGCGTGAATATACGTCGAGTGATATTCGTGATATGTATGCGCGAGTGGGCACAACTTGGCGCGTATACGAAGCATTTATCAGGCTACGTTCATACGTTGCACATATATATATATATGAATATACATGATATGCTATAAAATACTAGACGACCATGCGTTATCACAATCCCACAGAGTCGAAGACTTTTTAAAGAAAACGATTCTCGTTCGTCTCATATATTCATCAATCCAAACTTGTTTAAAATTATCCAAAAGCAATTTCGTAAAGCTCTTAGATTACACGCCAATTTTCCCGGATTCTTTTCCTTTTTTTTTTTTTTTTTTTTTCTGATCGTCTAATCAAACATCATCGTTCGTCGTTATAAAATTTCATCACGCGGTCACCCCTATAAATAAACGTCCTATAGTCGGCAACTCTCGTCGACAAAATATTTGCAAGCAACTCGAGTGGCCATCGAAGGAATTTCAAGTTTAGTTTATCGAGAATCACGGCTTGTCGGCATAACCCGATTTTTATGAATTATTCTATTTAAGCAGACTACCGAGAGACGCAAAATATGCTAGTATACTTGCTGGCGTATTGATCAGCGAAATTCCAAGTTCCACTGACGTAGACGCGGGAGGAGTACTCGCTTCGCTGAATTCCCTGTCACACATTGTCCATTAAGCTAGACCGATGGCATTCCAATACTATTATATACCATCTCTATATACATATATAGTATATGTACATTTCTACATGTAAATTGTATGACAAATAGTAAAAAAAAAAAATATATATATATATACATATACATTTTTAGATACTTTCTTATTCGTAACGCTGTAGTATTTACTCGCGTCATTCTTGTGTTACCCGAGTGATGTATTTCTTTTTTTTTTTTTTTTTTTACAACGAGATAAAACAGTAAAAACAAAATGAATGAAAGAAAGAAGAAATGAAAAAGTATGAGGTTGGTGAAAAACCAAAAGGCAACATTATTCTTACGTTGCTTTACACAAAATATGAGTCTACGAATTTCCTTTAGTTTCTCACCGAAAAAACATACTCCGTGTTTCGAGTTTATGAATAGGCAAATACCACGCTTCACCAATAAGAAACTAGCGATGTGTATTAATATTATGTATACATGTATATACATCGATATAACGGCACGTTGCATACGCATACAGTGTGTCAGCAAGTTTATAAAGAGATATCGCGTGCTCTAATTATGCGGTCTTTCTACGATATCGCTGACACATAGAAATTCACTTGTAGCTCACGTGCAATCGTATAAGAACTACATCGTGTACGCATCGGTAACACGAAGGGCCAAAGTTGGAAAACTAGTTCGTGACATTAGCGATACACGATAATACCTTACAACGGATATACGTCACACGTATGCAGAGATGAAAAAAAAAAAAGAAAAGAAGGGAGAAAAAAAAGAAACGCATAGAAAATAGCGAAGGTATAATAATATAATAAAAATAATAGTAAAACAACAACAACAAAAACAAAAAAAGATGTTTGCTTTGTTAACACAAACAACGCATTGATTAGTTCTTTTTAAATAATTAATTATAAAAGGATGAACACAAGGGTAAACGTACAAACAAATATAATATGTAGATTGTAAAATAATTGTATTTTTGATCTTGTATCTAATCGTAAATAAAGTTTGGAAAAGGGTATGGGATTGTAGGGAATGGACATCGAACAAATTGAAAATTTACGTTATCCCATCGATCGGTAGTAAGTTTACGTGACATGTTATTTGATTTCAATCTGTCAAAAATCTTAAGGAACATTCTAAATACAGGATCTTTTATTATCTATCCGAGAACGTAAAGATTGATGAGGTCGACGTCGCGCCAGTTGCACGATGAATCGTTACGTCACGAAGGAGGATCAACGATCGTAGGTCTAACGATCCGAATGTAATCTCTCGTAAATAGTACTACACAAGATACTTTGAGCTTATAACAAAATCGAATGTTCTAATCTCTTATATACTTTAAATCTATCTCTCCCTCTCTCTCTCTCTCTCTTTCTCTCTCTCTCTCTCTTTCTCTCTCTCTCTCTCTCTTTCTCTCTCTCTCTCTCGGCTTAATCAATAAAACGAGGATAAAGAAAATAATCTTTGAAGAATCCAACATTCTATCGAATAAGTTCTATACATTGCCAAAGTGAGCTCAATACGAACCCAATCCGAATCCAAAACTACAGTGGGATCACATTGATCTATAGACAATACAATCAGTCTGACTTTCTCTAAACTAAGATCCTTTTATCTATCAAAATAAATTTGATGTCGATCGATCATTGTGAATTAGTTCCATTGATCGACAAATACGTTACTACATAAATTATTTGATATTATTAGATATTATTTGTTTATCATATCATCAAATCATTTTATATGAGAAATCATTTCTTAATGGCAATGTGTGATAATTTTTTTCAAATAAACCTGGTTGGTATACGGTTAAAAGGTATTTCTAGATTTGAAAAGATTAAACATGTTTGCTTGATGACCCAATTCATCATTTTCAAACTACTGTCTTTGTATTTACGTATAAAAACCAAAGTAATTCACAATGCGATCAATCAAAACTTTCAAATGAGATTTCTCCTTGATAGTTTGACATTTGTCACGTATTTCTATAACTAAACACTCGATACAGGGACTCTAAAATAATTTTATTGTAACTTCGTAGAGTTAGTTTTTTTTTTTTTACAGCGACAAAAATACAGTACTAATTGATAACTTTTTTTTTCTTTCTTTCTCTTTTTCTCTCGAATGATAATCGTTTTTTTTTTTTTTTCAAATAACACAATCGGTAAGACTAAAAAAGTAACTCTCTACATCGAATAAATTGTTTTACCGACACATTTATCTGAAGATGAATTTCGAGGTAGATGCCGATCATATACTTGGTGTATTTAAACAACAATACACGTTTCTTTCGATTAATTAACAATTATTTTAATATTCTAATACACTCTACTTACATTACAGCAAAATTTGACCCTTGTAGTCACCACTGCGTAAGAGCATCAAAATAATTACATTAGAATGAAAAAAAAAGTTAAAATCAGAACGTTATAATCTTAAATTGTATTAATTAGGTAAATTATTACCGTTGCACACATGCGTAATGCTCGGAATGTCATATAAACAGAATGCAATAAAGGAATTTTAACAGAGGACAACCTATCAGTCTGAAGGTGAATTTCGAAGTGGACGATACTCCGATCATATACTTCGAGCTTTTAGATATAAATGCACATTCCCATCGATTAATTAACAATTATTTTAATATTCCAATGCATTCTTCTTATATTACATGCAAATTAAAAAAAAAAAATACTAAAATTAGAACTTTATAATGTTAAATGCTCTTTATTAGAATTATTATTACTGTTGCACGCATGCGCAACATTTGAAAAGTCATATAAACAATATATTATATTCTACTGTATATATAACGTATATAATTTATATATTGTACTGTAATGTAAGTAGAGTGTATTAGAATATTAAAATAATTATCAATTAATCGAAGAAAACGTGTATTGTTGTTTAAAAACACCAAGTATATGATCGGAGCATCGTCTTCCTCGGAATTCACCTTCAGACTGACGGGTTGTCCTCTATCAAAATTCTTATATTAAATGTTGCTTATATGACTTTTCGAATGTTACACATGTGTGCAACGATAATAATATTCCTAATAAAGATAATTTACACTTCTAACGTTAAACATTTACTTTGATTAATTAACAATAATTCTAATAATTGTTAATACATGAAAGTATATATCAAATCTATCAAAGAATACTGTATTTTTTGATAGTATTGTACCGTCATTTCATTAAATACCTACTAACGCCGACTGGTGGTCTCGGTGCTAACTAAGATGATTTTGTCCACACGAAAAGTTGACTTGTGAACTTCTATGCATTAACTTCTGTATTCTTTGACTATATAATATCTCTAAGATAACTACTAATAATATTTATAATTGTTTTAGTTCATTTCTTACCCATACATGTCGCTGTAGTCACTTCTTCAGGTGAAAGTTAGTGTTGAATTGCCTAAACATTAATTTTTAAAAATTGCATTAAAAAACAACAAGATCAATATACACTATAAAGATTTGAATTTAATTTATTTTAAGTAATATCAAATTATGCAGGTTGCCACCATATATAAATATTTGAATTATTTTTAATTTATATTCTGCATTAGAMAAATTTTTTTTCTTTTTGTTAATTTTCTTCTTCGTCTTGGTAAAAATGGTATAAAATAATAATTTGTTTAATAATGAATTTCCTTAAAAAAAAAAAAAATTCCCGAAAAATAATAAGGAATGTATAAAGTCGTAGAAACGTTTCATTATTCTCTTTGCTCTTGATCGTTTTCCGATGGTTCATGTTGTATCACGTGATCGAGACAACAAACCAATCGTGTCACCAGAATAGTCACGTGATTAGGAAAATCGAAATGGCGGACGTATCGGGACGAATAATCCCGAGAAGAGACGAAGGGCGATAAACTGGGCAAAGGTTCATAGTGTGCTGGCATTATCTTAAATCGAGAGAACAAAAACACCGCGATAAATTGAATGTTGTCGATTGTTAAGATCGTTGATAAGATTCAATGATAGAAAATAGGAAGTATAGCACGAACGAAAGATCTTACTCGTCGAGTGTCAATTTGCCCGTATTGTAAGTGCTTCTGAAAAGATCGCGCATCGGGAATGTGTGCGTGCGCATGTGAATGAGTGAGAGAAGAGAGGGGAGAAAAGAAGAGAAAAAGACAGAGAGAGACAGAGAGAGAGAGAGAGAAAGCATAGTTGTGTGCACGCAGCGATCGTGGGTGTTCGTCTCGTTTCACTCTCTTGCAATTAGAAGGTGATGATTTTTTGAAGGGTGTTCGCCACAGAAGAATATTTTGACGGCGTGCGAGTGCATAAAGAGGAAAAAAAGAGGAGGAGTATTTTCTGAACGTATCGAGATACTGTGACGGTTTAGTGGCAGTGCGGGAAAGGAAGGGAGCTAGGAGGCCGCGATTAGCATGTACTTACCAGCGTACACCAGACTCTTTTCTCGTACACTAATAGGATGTGTCATCGTTAATAGCTTACAATCGACAAAGGAGGTAAATTTATGAAAAAAATGTGTTTATTTATCTTGAATGTTTTTATTGCATGATTCTTAAGACACGTTTTTCTTTCTCTTTCTTTTCGTTTTTTTCTCTTCTCTTTCCTTCATTATCTCTTTCTCTGTCTATCTATCTGTCTGTCCGTCTGCCTGCCTGCCTGCCTTCTCTCTCTCTCTCTTTCTTTCTTTTTCTTCTTTTCTCTTTTTGTCTCTATCTCTCTGTCTGATCTCTCACGAACGTTAATTGTGGTAGAAGTTGGTATTGCTATTTCTATTACTATTGCCGACGGTGGTAATGGTGTCCGGTGATCGGTCTACCTTCGAGCGAGAAATTCCTTCAGCCGCTTTAAGCCCAGTTTACTCTGTTGACGTTTGCGATCGCGTATCGGCGTTCGATTGGTAGCACGATCCGTGACCCGCCAATAGACGGGACGGGAAGTTTTTCCTTGCGAATGTCAAGCCGTCGACACGGATGCAGGACCGATCTTTGCAATAAGTCCCTCGTTTAACAGTTTATAAGTGTTATCCTTTTTCGTGATAAATCTTTCTTTTCTTCTTTTTTTTTTAATTTTAATATCTTAGAAATGAATGCGTGCTAAAACGTAGAAATGGCGAAAAAAAAGAGAACGAGAGAAAGGTTACGTATGTAGGATCATACACGATCTAGCCTAATACTCGTTCGAATATTATTTCCTAGTGTTGTTCTCCTTATTGTGTGCTGCACCACTTTTCAACGATTACTGTACGCGTGGATATGTAATGTAAATCGAAAAAGGTCGTCGATAGGTGTGGGGGTTATCTTTTTCTTTATGAGACACAAAATCAATCTATCGTTATCGTCTTCGTATATTTATTCACAAGTCAGTTAACGCAACAAAAGAATGTAATTTATATCTTTTTACTTGCTTTAAGGTTATACTTTTGGTTCAAGTGATTTTTCTTTTATATCATATGTCAAGTCTCTATCTCTTGCTGTCATTTCTTTCTTGCTATGGTATTCTCGCTTCATTTCTTTCCTATAAATAAAATATTGTAGAATAACTTTTAATATTGTTTTAATATTTCATTATACAAGTAATAAATCCTTCTTTCGTGACCTAAATCATTCTGCACAAATTGAGATACTTTTATGAATTGGTTATGCATGCATTTGATTATTTTGTCATTTGTAACAAAGAAATTTCATATTGTATTTATTGGTTTTTGTTTTGTTTTTTTTTTTTTTCCAGATAAAGTATTTTTCTCATTAAGGAAACTTTCTACAAGAAATGTTATCCATAAAAATAGGTCTCTGTCTGAATAAACATGTTAAAATACTCCAGATGGATATGCCAATGTATTGAGACCTATATACTTTTGTCCTAGCAAGTAGATTATTCTACTGCCTGCCAATAATAGCACGCCCACGCAATTTGCAACTGTACAACAAATTTTATGATAATAATTTGATAACTGTTAGAAAAATTCTATAGGCATTTGATGTTCATAGTGTGACATTAAGATTAAAAGAAGTATAATCATACAAATAAAAATACTCCTATTCTTTGAGAACGAACTTTCAATAATAAGGACCTACACAATTTGACTGAAAATTTAGAAACTAAAGAAGAGGAAATTATAATTTTAGTGAATCTATTTTATTACATTGAAATATAGAGCAAAATTATAATACTCCGTTCTTTCTTACTGATCAAGTCATTGAATAATAGAATGAAACTTGATAGTAATCAGAAAGCAACTACCGATATACCTAAGCAGTTTATATTACTATTTAGAGGAAGAAAAAAGGCTTATGATATTTTGTTTAGTCAAACGATTGTTTTTACGTAATTTCGATGCTGTAATTAAATGAAATATTTTACTTAAATATAGTCTGGTTAATTCCAGCTAGCGCATAGTTATGCGGTGAAACTAGGTTATATGACTGTTTGAGATACAGTACAGTTAATGCGTGTACATAGACTGTTGATAATAAAGAACAAACTGAGAATATAGTAGCTAATATTTTTAAACAGAATGTGTAAAAGTTATTTTAAATCATTGCATAAGTGGGTGTATAAAACAACAAAGAAGAATGAAGGAATAATGATATGCTTGAAGTATCCTATGGATGGCAGAGGACGTATTTGCTAACCCTAATAACAAGAAGGTAATATATAATTCATTTTTTTTATTTTAATATATATATATATCTACGTTATGTATAAATCAATAATATTTGAAATAATCTTTCATCAATAATATTTTCAGGGTTATAAATATGGATATGTTTAGTTCTGGAGTAGTACAAGTATTCGTGGGCGAATGGAGCCCCGAATATGAAGCGTTATCTATTAAAGCTACAAAACAGACTTCTTCTTCAGAAATAGTTGAATGTATTATCGAAAGACTGGGTTTGGTAGATGTTTCCAATGGATACGAGTTAGCAGAAGTGGTAGGAAATTCTGTCGGGCAGGAATGTAAAGAAAGAAGACTTGGTCCTTCTGAATGTCCTGTAGCACTTATGTTACTTTGGCCAAAAAGTGTTGCTCAACAGGAATATTACAGGTAATCTAATATTGTTTTATTATTATGCTTTTATTATTTCTTATTTATGCTCGTATCTCTGTTTTAGGTTTTACTTGAGGAAAAAGCAAACGGATTATTTATGGTGTGACAGTAGATTTCCTATGGATCCACAACTATTAAAGGATTATTTCAATAGATTTCTATATCAACCACGAGATAAAGAATATCCAGATTTATGCCAGCTTCCTGACCTCAACGAGCAAACACTTTTGGACAATCTTCGTGCTAGATTTTTAGCTGGAAATATATATACCTATGTTGGCAGCATATTGATTGCTTTAAATCCATTTAAATTTTATCCCATTTATAATCCAAAATATGTGAAACTTTATCAAAACAGACGATTGGGGCCCGATATACCTCCACATATATTTGCGATAGCTGATGCGGCTTATCATTGCATGTTAAAAGAAAAAAGGAATCAGTGTATTGTGATCAGTGGTGAAAGTGGTTCGGGTAAAACGGAATCAACAAACTTTTTACTACATCATCTAACTGCCTTAAGTCAAAAAGGTTCCCATGGTAGCGGTGTTGAACAAACAATACTTAGTGCTGGTCCTGTACTCGAAGCATTTGGTAATGCAAAGACTGCACATAATAACAATAGTAGCCGTTTTGGAAAATTCATACAAGTGAATTATAAAGAAAATGGAATGGTACATGGGTAAGTTACTTCTTTGCTATATGAAATATATTTTATTAAAATATTTAACAATAATTGTTGTTTAAACAACAGGGCAGTAGTACAGAAATATCTGCTGGAAAAGTCAAGGATAGTTTCTCAAGGAAGAAATGAAAGGAACTATCATGTTTTTTACTATCTATTAGCTGGTGCAAATGAACAGGAAAAACAGCTTTTACATTTAGAAAGTTGTGAACGTTATAATTATTTAAACAAAAGTGGCTGTTATGGTCTTGAAAACATTGATGAAAGGCATGAATTTTCGAGGTTGAAGCAATCTATGGAGATGGTGGGATTTACACCTGAAAAGCAAAAACGACTTTTTGCCGTTTTATCAGCTGTTCTATTACTTGGTAATTATTAAAATATTGTTAGTTGTTTTTTTAAAAAAAATCTAACTAACAATATCGTATTTCCTAGGTAATGTGGAATTTCAACCAAGAAAATCTTACCATCATGACGAGGCAGTAGGAGTTAAGAATCCCGAAGTCGTCGCATTAATATCCGAATTGCTTAGGGTGAAACAAGAAACTCTTTTGGCTGCATTAACTGCTAAACGTGCACGTGCCTCTGGTGAAACATTGGTCATTAATTATAGACTTCCAGAAGCAATAGCAGCAAGAGATGCAATGGCCAAGTGTTTATATGGAGCTTTATTTGATTGGATTGTACTTCAGGTAGAAACGTTAGACATAAATTTATGTCAAATATTAATATAAAGATTATAACTAATTACTATTTATAATCTTAGGTCAATCATGCTTTACTCTCGAAAAAGGATACGTTGAGGGATCATCAAGGCAATAGTATAGGTGTACTTGATATCTTCGGATTCGAAGATTTCAAGACATGCAATAGCTTTGAACAATTGTGCATCAATTATGCGAACGAACAATTGCAACATTACTTTAATCAACATGTTTTTCAATATGAACAAAGAGAGTACAGGAAGCAAGGAATCAGATGGACGGATATAGGATACAGTGATAATTCTGGTTGTTTAAATCTTATTGAAGGAAAACCAAATGGACTTCTTTGCCTTTTAGATGATCAATGCAAGTTAGCACCTTGTTTTTCTTTTTTGTCTTTCTCTTTAAAACAATAATATTATAAGCAAAAATATCATCTTGTCAATGCACGTCTTTTTAGCTTCCCAGGTGCAACGAATGAGACACTGTTACAAAAATTTAATATGGTTCACAAAGAAAATCCATTCTATGAAGCACCACAGAGACGTGAAGCAGCCTTTGTCGTACGTCATTACGCAGGAGCTGTTAAATACCAAGCTTCTAATATGAGAGAGAAGAATTTGGACTTGATGAGACCAGATGGAGTGGTTGGTGTGCTCAAAAACTCATCCCTTGCTTTTGTGCGAGAGCTCGTTGGTGCCGATCCAGTTGCTGTATTTAGATGGGCTATTCTCAGAGCTTTTTTTCGAGCTCATTTTGCATTTCAGGAAGCAGGACGTGCATACAGACATGGCAGAGGTAATTATATTTCATATATTAAGATTTTATATAATAAACATTTGTATATACTTTTCATTTGGATTTACATAATAAAATATGTTCCTATTTTGTTTCAGCTGATGGTAATAAGACGTCTGCACAAAACAGATATAGGACACCAAACGAGAATTTAATAAGGTATTTATTAATTTGTATTTATTCATTTCATGCTATATCTGTTCTTACGAAGGGTGATTCTTTCAAAAATTTGTCAAATGCTTTTATATTTATTGATTTTTTTTTTATTAATAATTATAATGAACAAGTACCAACGTCGTTACGCTTGACTATGAATATGTTTGATCTGCATATTGTGTCACCCTACGGTGTATAAATTTGCATCTAGCTAAAAAGGTTTTTGTGTGTTCATATCTAATTGGAACGTTGAGTATATTTATATTGGTCACATTGTCTTTTGTCCCTGTAGCCATCTTGTGACGTTATCGGCCGTCAATCTAACTATTAACCGAATTGCGTAAGTGGTATTTGATCCACTGTATGTGTCATATTACAATATGTTAAGTATTTTTAGTCTAAGATTTGTTATGGATTTACAACATTGTATTAAATATTAACGAATACCAAACATTACACTAATATTTTTCATTTAATACAAAACACAATTGCAGATTTTGGGAATATTTTTGTTTATTTTACATTATCAAGAATCAATCCTATTCTTAAGGATTATATAGAATTATAATTGTAAATCCATACAGCTGTACACCACATTAATTCTGTATATCTCTACAGATAATTTAGATTTTTATGTTCGCACTACTTCTGTATTAGATGTTATTAGAGTGCAACCTGATGACTTTTTCCACGTGAAAATATTTGATCACTCTCGAGTGCATTATTCTTTCTGCTGTACTCTATTGAGCATGATCGCGAAGCGACAATAAGATAATAATTTTGACTTCATATAATTCATTATTACAATATCATGCGCGATCAATCATTTCGATATTTTTTTTTTCATTAATATAATTTATTCATTAATAAGGTCATTAACTCTCCGTTACAAATATGAATAATAATAAATATTGCAATTGAATAAAATCGTTATTAATGATAGTATTTTACATAAGAAAAATATGAATAATGATAAATATGAAATCACATGATCGCGTTGAAAAATCAACTAAGCATGAAAGGATTTTTCAGTTCTCACAAACATACTCGTCCACCCAGCTATCAGAAGCAACGAAATGTCTGTTTACCATCGACCACTCCCACTGCCACATTATCCTGCGTACAAATTGAAAACGACAGTGTAAACAACAATCGATTATCGTGGCCGCAGTTTAGAAACATTAATCAGACTCAACACCCATCGAATATAACAACAACGAAGAATTACATAATAAGGGGCAGGGAAGACCAGCCTCATAGTAATAATAAATTCAGACGGGATACTCATACACCACTTGAGAGGGTGCTTCCAAAAGACGAAGTTAATAACGTTATGGAACGCGCTAATCAAATTGTCATGTATGTAAATGAATTTTGTTGGATCTTGGATAAGAGTTTAATTTAAGCTATATAAAATCACTGGCTCACAGCAAAGGTAGTGCGTGCTCTATAGATTTTATAGGTGAAGGGTTTATTTCGTATATCGCGTCTTAGAAAAATATTAATGGTCTTCCCATGCAGTACGTACATGGCTTTACACGTTATAATTTTAATTTCATCAAAATCATTCATCATAGAAACTTCTTATAGAATATGTAGTTTAATAATTACAATTTTCAATAAGTTACGGTGGTTGGTGCATGTTATCCGTTTATCAATAACANATCACTGGCTCACAGCAAAGGTAGTGCGTGCTCTATAGATTTTATAGGTGAAGGGTTTATTTCGTATATCGCGTCTTAGAAAAATATTAATGGTCCCCCCCCCCCTATGCACAATCCTTTAAACTGTAAACATATAATTCTACTATCATCTATCATCATAGAAACTTCTTATAGAATATGTAGTTTAATAATTACAATTTTCAATAAGTTACGGTGGTTGGTGCATGTTATCCGTTTATCAATAACAATAGATCTCACAGTTTCACTATTTAAAATACTACTTGACCCATGATTTTCCTAATCTATATATTTTTCTTATAGACATCATAGATCTATCGAAAAGTTCATTGCATTTTTCTTACGATCTACTTTCATCCCTCTAAAAAAACAACAATACCAATATATTGTTATTCCTTTTCTTTTTACATATCAATAATTATTTTTAACAAAATTCTCTTGATAATAATAAACCATTTCTATTGTTACAATATTTTTCTATGCTTTTTATCATTAAATTATATTCTGCCAATTATCTGCTGTTGTATATCTTGCATTTCGTATTAAATATATGGGAAAAGAAAAGAATTTAAAATAACAAATAATTATAATTGCAATGCACCGTTTGCCAAAGTAGACATTATAATGCTTTTTCCTTGTCCTGTTTTTTATTGTCGTGTAAATACGTGCTTTACCTAATGAAAGAAATGAAAGTAATTTGTTTGGAATAAATAATGAAGTAAAAACAAAAAAAAAAAAAAAAAAAAAACAGGAAAAGGAATGAACAAGCGCTTTTCTAAAATATTTATCAAAACTTCTCAATTAAAAATGTTTACAGGAAAAATAAATCGTTTCGTCCAAGGGAACGAGGTAAAAAGGGTCTAAAAAATCTTCAAACTGTGAAAACTCTGGCTGGAAGAACTCAAAGTTACGGAAGTGGTCCTGGAAAAGCAAGAAAACAACCTATGACTGTATCAGCACAATTTCAACAAAGTTTACACAGCCTTATGGATACCTTAAATCAAGCAAATCCTTTTTTCATCAGATGCATAAAAAGTAATGCCAATAAAGTTCCAAATGAATTTGACGAAGAAACCGTACAGAGGCAGCTAAGATATACTGGAATGTTAGAAACCGTTCGAATTAGACAAGCAGGCTTTAACGTCAGATTAACATACGACGAATTTATTCAGTTGTATCGAATGTTATTACCTAAAGGGCTTTTGAGTTCGCAATCGGATGTACGTGATTTTTTGTTAACGTTGAATCTGAACAGAGACAATTATCAACTTGGAACAACAAAGGTATTTCTTCGAGAATCCGAGAAGATAAAGTTGGATATAGAATTGCATCAGCAAATCATTACAAGTATCACGACGATACAAAACTGGTTTCGTGCTTGCTTAGAAAGGAGAAGGTTCTTAAGGTTAAAAAATGCGGTAGTGCAAATTCAGTCATTTTGGAGAATGGCAAGTGCCCAACGATTTGTACAAGCGCTACGTGCAAGAACGGAAGCTGCGATTCATATTCAAGCTGCATGGAGAGGATACAAACAACGTACTTGGTTTAAAAAATTAACATCCTGTATAACAATCTTTCAAGCTTACGTCAGAGGTAATAATGCTAGGAAAGCTTTCATGGAACTTAAAAGGCGGAGGAAGTATATGCAAAAAATCGATGAAACGACAGAAAATCGGGATACTGAAGAACATATGCTTCAGAAACTCAACTACACGCTTGCTAATACTGATGCAGAAGAGTAAGCATTTCTTAATGTATATTTGGAAAATATGTTTACTTTTCACGTATTTCATATTATCCATTATTATAGATCATTGTCCACCTGTGAAGAACGTTCGTTGCCAGAATACACTGTGTCACCTCGAAAATTGGAAGCTCAGAAACGTGTCACTCCAATTAAGTAAGTTAATCGAATAATTTGTATCCTTGTGTATTTATATATTTATTTTATTTTTATTATAAATCATTTCATCTTACAGGCAAGAAAACTTATCTAGAGAAACAAGCGGTGATACAAGTAAGATACCTTATTCTAAACGAAAAATTATACAGAATAAAAGGATATTACACGAATCGAATGTTACATCGAAGAATTCAGAAACGTTTTATTCCGAAGAAATTGGCGAACGTAAGAGCAGCATCGAAAGTCTCACTAGTTTAAAAAGTTATGAATCTCAAGGTAGCGTTAATAGTTCCGAATCGCAAGAGAATTCGAGTTGCAAGCCTATTCCCAGTACGAGAACGAAACGTGGCGAACATGCGGTTGTTATAATGACCTCCAACAGATTGTCTTCGATAAGTAAAAGAACCGACAGCTCGTCGACTGGTTGTAGCGATGGCGAAACAGATGGAGATACGCCGAATGCTGTACAAAGTGCTCCACCTATTTTCAATGTTACTCCATCATTTACAAATCCTAGAGATACCAAATACCATCCCAACACAAATTTAAATCGTAGTCCAAATTCGGATATTTGGCGAAGAAGAGCTGAGTATCCATCTATCAATTATAATGATTACATTATGTCAGTGCCTCAGAAAGCAACTGTGACTCGATCTCCGAACGTTTCTCAGTATAAAAACATTTCTGATAATGTTCTTGAACACTCTCGTTTGGACCAACCGAACGAAGCTGCAAATTACAACGTCAAGTTAGACGCCAATGAACGTTTTGTTCGGATGGAAAGTTCACGCGATTCGCGTTTATCGAATGATCGTTTGGAAAATCTACCGATTTCACCGTCTAGACGAGAGCAGAACTATAGTTTATGTAAAGACGTCAAAGAGATCAATTATTTAAGAAGGCAAAATTCTGAGGGCGACACCGCTTCTAAAATTGAATCCACGAATGACGATAAAGTGACGAAAAATGTTCTCGCCAGAAGAACAGATCCTAAAGATAAAAATTCTAGGCCGAAGGATAAATTTGAACCAGATGTACCTGTAAGAAGTGCTAGACGAAATCGGGTATCAAGGGAGGTCCAATGCAGATCCATGGGTGAAAGTGTCTCAGATGCGAATCCTGGAGAGACTAGAAACTTGTTCCTTGGTACTATTAAGGAGGCGGACATGAAACGTATGGAAAATATCAATGTATGGACGAGAAAGGAGAGTCCTAGCGAAGTTACTTCTAGATCCGTCACCGATTGGCCTGTGAATAAAAATGAAGCGGCGGTTTACAAGGGTCAACAGCCAGGAAAGCGGATGAGATCCAATGCAATAACGACTTTGGAACTTCGAAGAAGGAATTCTGATCCAGCTACGAAAATTTCCGTGTTAAATGACGATAAGCCTGGGGCGGACACTAGTCCTAACGAACTAAAACTCGCTCCTGGCATGAATCTATTGGAATGGAAAGGTAACAATCTTTTTACCTTGGCTGGTCATCGTTTCAGAAAAGTAGCACGTTTCGCCAAAGACGATGTATGCGTTTGTTGTCACGAAAAAATGGATGCTTTTGTTACTCAAGGATACAAGTGCGTCGATTGTAAACAATTGTATCATGTGAAATGCATCCAGAATGGAGGAGTACTCAAAATGCCATGTCTTTTAGCAAATACACCAAATAGACGGAAAAACAGAAAGCCTCCTCGTATTCCTTACACCGACACCAGCAAACAAACGGTGACTTCGAAATTCAATCTTACCGGGACCTCCGCTTTTTCCGATAGTACGGATAAGATCATATCTGATGCCAAAGAATTGGCGTTTATGCAAGACTTTATTACTAAAAAAATATATATAATGGAGGCTCAAGAGGAAGGCAGTAAACCCAGCGAAGTGGATCGCGTTTTTAAACAGGCATTGCGTAAATTTAAAGACGAGCTGGTGATTACTTACAGCGTTGCCATTCAACAAGGCGTGGAAGGAAACATCAAGTACACCGATTTAATAGCAAATTTTCTTCACGTTATGCAGACTGTCTGTAAACAAGAAAATACCAGCGAAGATTTTCCCGTGACAATGGGCGTTAATGCCTTTAGAGGATTTATGAACGAATTCATGACGTTGGTTAAGACCGAAGCGCCGGAAAAGCAAAGTAAGAGCAAACGAAAAAAGGAAAAGAAACGGAAACAAGAAGAGCCTATACGACATGGTAATCATATGTTCCAATTAACCATCATTAATATTCCCACCGCTTGCGAAGTTTGTACTTCGTTTTTTATGTGGCCGATCGAACGAGGACTTGTTTGTCAAAGTAAGTACGTCTTGATCGTTTGTTCTTCTTAAAGGATTACTTTTTCTCTGTTATATTTATCTATTTCGTTTTTTTTTTTTTTTCGTTTAAACAGATTGCAAGTTGACTTGTCACAAGAAGTGTTACACAAAAGCAGCGACTGATTGTGGAAAGGAGGCGTCTATGCTAGAAGCAAATTCTCGTAGAGTTTTTGGTGTACCGTTGTACAAATTGGATTGTGGCGACGGCAAAGTACCTCTGGTAGTTGATAGACTGATCACAACTATAGAGCTGCATGGATTATACACCGAAGGTATCTACAGAAAGAGCGGAGTAAGTTCGAAAGTGCGAGAGCTCAAAGTGAAAATGGACGAGGGTGATTTGGAGAAGGTAGACTTTGAGAATTATCAAGTACACGTCCTAGCAGCAGTTTTGAAGAGCTTCTTCCGAGATATGCCTGAGCCTCTGTTGACTTTCGAATATTACGACGATTTCCTTCACGCCGCAAACTTGACGGATCCTCACGATAGAATCAGCACGCTTTTTGCGATTCTAAAGAAACTGCCGAAGCCAAATTTTGATCTGATGGAACGATTGATCGTACATCTTACAAGGGTGGCATTGCACGAAGAAGTCAATCGAATGTCATCGTCAGCGTTGGCGATCGTTTTCGCTCCGTGTATATTGAGAACGAATCGAACATTGCCGGCTCAAGATTCGCTTCAAGACGTCGGAAGGCAGACTCGTTGTGTGGAAACGATCGTGCAGGAGAAATTGCGAGTGGTCAGAGCTACTTTGGCTGATATAAATACTTTAGAAGCTGCTTGTCAAACGGCGAACCATCGATTATCCAACTTGAGATCCTCAAAGATATTTAGTCCGGAAGAACTGAACGTAGCAACGTCGAATATCGCGGTAAGAACCGGTGCTGTCGATAGGGAAAGAGATCGGGGAGATGAAGAGGAAGCTTTGCTCGTCGATCACATACAAGAGATTCAAAAGGAAAAAGCTCTGTTAACGTCCACGTTACCGAGCTTGACCCGTGCTTCTTCGGACGACGATCTTCTTCTCTCTGCCACAGACTTGGACGACGGATCTCTCGACGATTTGCTTCCACCTTCTGCCGGTATGTTTCTCATTACGCGTAGTCTCTGTCCATGCATGAGATTCATTGTATTTTCCATTTCTCGTAGATGGTCTGGTACGAAAGAAACCTATTCAAAGGCAAAGTTCAGCCGACAACGCTTTTCCTACTATCATAAGCGTCGATGAAGACATGGTGATGGTATGACCGTCGTCCACAGGCAGCATGTCCGTGAAACTTGGACGATAAAAAATGTGTAGCAGCATGATAAGCTTCGCGTGGTTTTTTCCGGTCGCTCGACAGTTGCTCGACAGCCGTCAATTTTGGTCTCATCCGAATATAACGCAAAGTTATTTTATTCGTTAGTTAAGAAAGACGACTTTTAAGTAGGTCTAGTAATTTGTCAACCCTTTTAGGATGATCTCAAGCTGGTGATTTGGATCGTCGCTTACTTCCTTCGTTCCGTGGTAAAATCGTAGATAAAACGGCGTAAATCGGCGTAACGATATAAACAAAAATATCGCAACGTCAATCTAATTATCGCTACTAGAAGCTACTCTTTTCCTAGGATACATTCCTTTTTATCGAAGACTGTCAACATTAAATCGCGACATTTTTTTTTTTGCGAGAGTTCATCTTCCAACACAGAAATCATTTATTTTTCCTCATTTTTTTTTTTTTTTTCGTACATCGATAATAGTAGCAGAAGGTCATTCTATTTTTTATCTTTCACAAACATTTGAAAACGTTAAAATTGTTATACCTTGATAAGGTAACGTTCCACTCGATAAGAATGAAAAGAGAGACAGACCATCTTCTTATTATTGTCCCAACCATTAATTTGTTAAGACTTTCTTTGACAATCGGAGAGATTAAAAGATAATCGTTGACATGACTGAAAACTGATTGATAACAACACGACGGCTAGGTTTGGTAATCGGACGGGCAAAGAGGAAAACGTAAACCGCGCTGGTCGTTTCTTTCCTCGAAGAAGAAAGAATTGTTATTTCGGTGGTATCCTTCGGGTCGGTTTAAAACAGCGAGTTATCAAATTGCGCTAGATTTAAGCGGAATAAAAAAAAAAAAAAAAACTTTGTAGCAGAAAGAGTACGAATGAACGTGGAAAAACCAAAATATAACTTTGTACATATTATATCATACAGCTATATCTCATATTAATCTGTTACTATTGTTAAAGATACGAGAGACGTTACCAAGGTTATATTTCTACTGTCGATATTTCATCGTAGCTGGTAAAACGTCGATATATGAATAATATATATCGGTCTTGCCGATTTTTTTTAATTCGTTGCAATTATTTTTTTTTTTTCTTTATTTTACTTTTTATTATAATTTTTTTTTTAACTTACGTTCTTTTCTATGCGACGAGATTTTCATACGCTGAGAGACGCATACATCCTTTGTACCGAATTTATCTTTACGTATGAGTACTTATGTATATATACATATATATATATATATATATATATATATATAAAAATTAGAAAAAAAAAAAAAAAACATTTTGTACGGGCAAAATTGAAAGTGGAATTATAGGCTTTTTTTACTTCGACATTTATATATAGCATGTCATTTTAGTTTCGTTTTTATCTTTTCTCTCTAGGTTTTCTTCTTCGTTCGCTGTGAAGCGCGCGCGTTTTTTTATTCATTTTTTTTTCACTTCATTTTGCTCGTATTCCGTTTTAATCGCATTCGGAGTCTCTAAGTAAGTCCTATTCTTCTTACGCTCTCGTACGTTCTCTTTGTGCCAGTTTTGTCAAAGTTTCTTGCTAATTAAAACAGATCGAGGAAACGTTATGAAAATACAAGTGATAAATTTAACATTCAAGATTTCATTTTGTTTTTTTTTCTTTTTCTTTTTTTTTTTTGTCTTGAACTTTAACAATGATCTCATTTCTATTTTATAGTGGGTTAAATTTTTTTTAGTTGACTGATAAATTATATCCGTTTTTGAATTTAATTATTATTCCTTTACACACTTATCAGTAATACATTTTCCTATTTTAGATTTCTAAACTATCGAATTGACTTTTCGAAAACTGTACGTTCCCTCGATCTTTTATGGTCTTCCAACAATTGCACATCATCATTAGAACACTTTTCTTTTTTTTTTTTTTTTTATGTTTCGATAAATGACAAAAGTCATCAAATATCAAACAAAATGATAATATAAACATTAACTTTGCCTAATTCCGGTCGGGGCACGATTAATGATTTAATAAATGCGGTTTTTATCCCAGTAACAAAGAATTAAGTGGAAGATTAGGAAAAAGATAAAATACCCGTTTTCGTTGTTATCATAGTCTACTTTTTTTTTTTTTTCTTTCTTTCGACTCATTAAGATATTATTTGTATTATTTTCCATTTTCTTTCTATTTTTCTTTTTTTTTTTTCTTTTTTTTTTTTTTTTAAATAACTGGTTACCGAACCGAGAGTTTTTTTATCTGTTTTGCTCGTTTTATCCTTCCTTTCCTTTTCCTTTGTTTTTTTTTTTCTCTTTCTATTTTCTCTTTTTATTTCCTTTTCTATTTTAAATGCGCGCGTATTCATTCTTCGTCTTCTTCTTCTTCTTCTTCTAATCATTTATTTGTCCGCGCACGGTAAGTTTTTTTAGAAATATGAAAGAGAGGAGGAGGAGGAGGAGAATATTATGGTCGAGTTATTATCTATCGCGATGTTAATGTTAAAGATTATTGATTATAGAGTTGTGTTTTAACGTTTATACGTTGTGTTTTATTCTACAAGCCATGACATCGTGCTAAGGCACTAACAATATAAAAGAAAATAAAAAAAAAAATAAATAAATAAAATAAATGCGATTTAGTTACGTTTCCAGCGAAACTGAAGTCATAAATTCGTTGCAATTTTGTAGTGGATCTCGATTTCGTTGAAGAAATATAAATATAACAAAAAAAAAAAAAGAAAAAAAAAAGAAAAAAAAACACCGTATCTCTCTATGCGAATAGTTGCAGTGTTTATTATCGTTAATTTTTCAATGTAAATAGTTATTATTGTATCTCTTGAAAAGAATTTACATGAAAGCATACATACATATATACATATATATATATACATACTATACATATATATACACACACACACACATATGCATATATACATAGAAAAATCTTTATCGTTTTATCATACATTTCTAACAAAAGTTATTTATAAAAATTGTTTTGTTTTATTTCAGTTAGTATTCCCATTGCATTATCGAAAATGTCGAGTTGTTATATTTAAAAAAAAAACAAAAAATTTGTCAAATGCCTATATATAGTGTGATCGCAACGATATCCATCCATCCTTCTCATGAGATCGATAGAAAAATTATTCGTCGTAATTTTATAAGATCTTAATCTCAATTAGATTTATTCATTAACGAGCTGCTGAGATGTTTAGTAGTCCTGTCCTATTGATGATTAAGAAAGAAAAAAAAAAATAAGAAGAAGATATATAAATTAATTGGTAAGAGATTATTAATATTATATATATATATATATATATAGATATATATTGGTACGCGTGTACACATACTCTTCTATCGCGCAAAGTGGTTTACACTATCCACCCCCTACTCACCCCCTATTTCCACCTGTATGTTTTGATAATCTGTGAATAGAGAAAACTTTTGGAACGAGGGTCGAATGGACGATTATAGAGAAGTTCGATATAGTCAAATTTACTTAAATACATCCCCGACTATTATCAAATGCAAAATGAAATATCTCTAAAGTCTATTATTATTATTGTTATTATTATTATTATTAATCATTGGCATTAAGAACTTGATAGTTTATTGCCATTTAAATCTTATATACACTTTTATTATTTTTGATTTTTATTTTCTTTATTTTACAGTGATATTTTTTAATAGTAAACAGAGAAGCCTATTAACTCTTTGAGTGCTATAAACGCATATATGCGTTTTGTAAAAATTACTAAACCTTATCTTTCGAAGCATATACGTATTTGTTAATATTAATGTAAAGTAATTTAATATTTATATTAATTAATTAAATATAATTTTTGTTATTAGAATTTGATTAAAGTAAACAAAGGGTTAAAGTTAACAAGCGATGCATTTAGTTGCATTTTTATATATACATATATATAGTTTCAATAATACATATATACACACCTTATGGGGTTTTATGTATCGTGTGAGCCAACAAAAAGTCGGGGTTTCAATCATCATCATCATCATCATCATCATCATCCCTCTATCTATCTACTTACATTATATATAAACAATATGGAGAATTTTCATGACAATATTGTCCTGATGTATCGTTTAACATGCAACAACAAAAAAATCCCATCCCGTTTAACGACGCGTATTATCATTGGGCCACGATAAATTCGCGTTTGTTATCGGTAAAGTTAAATTCAATTACGAGATGACTGGATACGACAGTTTGGGATTGTCCTTATCGTCAGTTCTTATCATTCTTCGGACAAAGAATCATCTAAATTGTAGCAAACATCTTTATCAAATGAATAATAATAAAAAAAAAAAAAACTGTGTAATGCTCTAAGTGGCCGAATTTTCGAAATACGCTTATTACAAATATAGGAAAATGATAAATGATGTTTGCTGCTGACCCTCCCGAATCTCTCTCTCCGTCTCTTTCTCTATCTATCTATCTATCTATCTATCTATCTATCTATCTATCTATCTATCTATCTGTAAACTCTCTTTTACTTTTTCACGAATGAACGATAAAAAATATAAAAAATGTTCTTCTTTCGATGATCTTGAATCATCGTTGACAAAAATGTTCATTAACGTATTATTATAGCGATTGTCGAAGATGTGAGAAGAAAAATCGTGTCATCGTTGATGAAAATAATGAAAAAAGGGTATGAAGTGATTAAAACCAACCCCCGTAGAGAGATTCCTCAAGAAAATAGGAAGAAAGATAAAAGAAATGATTGAAATCGTCGTGATAGGTAGGACAAACGAACGAACGAACGAGAGTGAATTTTAGCAAAATTTATGAATAATATTAAACAAAAAGAAAAAAACAAAAACATCAATCAACATTAAATGCTCTTCCCGTTCGTGTCTTGGCATAAAAAAAAGAAAAAAAAAATATTTCTAAGCACACTGATCATGGAAAGACTCTGTTCCCGATCGTCGCGATCGAACTCGTGTGTACTTTTTTGATCACCGGATATATAAAGGATCGTAGGATAGAAAAGAATTGATTAGAACAAAACCTGTATACGTACAAAAAGAAAAAAAAAAGTAAGGAATTTCGTCCAAGAATATTGTCATCGTTTTTATCCTCGATCGAAGGAAGAAGGAATAAAATGTTTGACTGTGTACAGTTGATTATAGTTTTTTTCAAGCTCATCGTCGCGATACTCGGGAACATTGTGTACAAAATTATATTTATATATATATATATATATATACATCTATACGAATATATAAGTATATAAATATATATATGCATGTATATATACATATTTTTATCTGTTATTATTTTTTTTTTTTCTTTTGAAGAGAAAAAGAAACACATGTATTCTTGCTGTACGAGAGTGAAGAGAAAAGATGGCGAATAAAAATTGTGTATAAATTTTTCGCGAGAAAATTGTGTATTGCAACAGTAAATAAACAATATGAAATGAGAGAAAAAATATATATTTATATATGTATATATAATTATTATATAATTTATATTATATATTGATGTATTAATATTATAATAAATTGTATAATACATATATATATATATACATATATATAATTATTATATAATTTATATTATATATTGATATATATTAATATTATAATAAATTGTATAATACATATATATATACATATATATTGTCCACACAATGGTACACACATGCACACATATACAAAAGCACTAAAGTAGACCCAGAGTGTGAAGTGTAGGGCGCGTGCGCTTATCATCGGTTGTTTATCCGAGCGTGTGCTCCGAAGGGATTTTTCGTTAGACTCGAGTGCGCTCTCGTGTAGAACAGCTCGAGGTGTGGAAGGAGGAGGAGGAGGAGGAGGAGGAGGAGGGGTTTAGGCGAAAGAGATTATAGACTTTTAATCGGAAGGCGAGGCTAATAAGATACGAAAAAAAGGACCCACAGAAAGAAGAAGCCTCTTCACGTTCGCCTTAGAGTTAGCTTTAACTTTTATGTATATCTATGTATATGTATATATATAACGTCTTTCTTTACTTTTCACTTGAGAAATCCAATCTTTCTGTTTCGTTATCTGTAACCTCACTCTCTCTCTCTCTCTCTCTCTCGTTTTTTAATAGACTAGTATTATCTAGGACGAACAGTATTAATTTTTTAATGTTTTTTTTTTTTAAATGTTTTCATAGATTAAACCCCGTATATTTAATAAAAAAAAAAAAAAAAAGAAAAAAAATAGAAATTTGTCAACAACTTTTTTGTTTTTGTTTTTAATCTTCAGTCGTGCAATTCAACTCATAAAAGCTTCGAGTATCATATATATTTTTTAAAAAAATATTTTCTTCATTTCACGTCACTCTTTTCGGACGTCTTTTACACGACGAAGAGGTATCATCTTGTTTTTTTATTTTTTTATTTTATTTTTTTTTTTTTTTACATTTGACCGCGCGTTCGCACCCTAATCATTATGGATCTTGCGAGCAAAGAACCGTGAAATGGGCCGGACAGGGTTTACCAGAGTTTGCTGAGGGACACATAGCTTGGAGGGACGTCATGGACGATCGAAGCGTGATGACGTGGAACATTCGTTTTTTTTTCTACTTTTTTTTTTCACACCTCATCTTGCTGCTGCTGCTGCTGCTGCTGCTGCTGCTTCTGCTGCTCCCAGTTTAATGCCGATTATGGATAGTAACTATGTATACGTCTCGTTGGATACTAAACTAAATAACTCTGGAAAATACGATGAAGAAGAAGTCTTATCGTAGTACAATTTTCTTTTATTTTGTTCTCAAGCTACGATCTTTAAGTTCTAAATTGAGTTAGTTTTAAAGAAAGAAAGAGAGAGAAAGAGAAAGAAAATAAAGAAACGATAAGAAAAGGTTGTTGAGTTTTGTAGAAAAAAAAAAAAGAGATTTTTCTTTTATTCAGCTCCTATTTTTTTTTTCTTCTTATATTCCTTCCTTTCTTCTTTCTCTCCTCTCATTCTTTTTTGTCACTTACTTTCCTCGTCATTTGCTTCCTGATTTGCGATCGAAGAAGATGCGCTTCGAGAAAAGGTCAATCGACGTTGATGAACTCTACGATTAGAGAGAAAGAGAGAGAGAGAAAGATAGTTGATTAAAGAACGAAGGAGAGATAAGAGGTAACGAAGAGGAGCCTTTCCATGTTACGTGTTCGAACATGATCGTTAACTATACATACAAACAAAATATATATACATATATGTGCATTTTCACGAACATAGAGACACGCGAATGGAAAAACAGAATATAGAAAGATATTATTCATAAGCATCATATATATATGTTCCTTAGTAGCACAAAATATTGAAAAAATATTGAATACATATGTACTTAATACTAAGAATACATTGAATCTCTTTTTAATATTAAATACACATGTATTCAATATTTTGTGCAACTAGGGTTACTTTAACACGTTGATCGCCACGTCAGCCATCAATGACTGACACTAAACTTTCCATATAGGCCACGTCCGTCACATATGACTGACACTTTCAACTATTTTTTTCAATACAAAGTAACGCCTGTGGCCTGACAGGAATTCTTACGGAAATATTCGTCAGGCCACGCACGGCAAAAGGAAAAGTTCATCGTCAGGCACTGGCACCTGACATGGGTCTGAATGTGAAGTTTATTGTCAGTCACTAATGACTGACGTGGCACTCAACATGTTAATCAGAAGGCTTATTGACTTAAATCGTGAGCCTGGGATAAAAACACTCTTTTACTTGTACAATATTCGTGTGGCCGCTTAAACAAAACAAAAACAAAAAAATAAAAAATATATTTTGTGTGCTTTATCGCGTGCGCGCTTCCGTATGGATTATTATACGTGTGCGTCCTACGAGAGAAAGAGAGAGAGAGAGAGAGAGATGGTGTGTGTAAGGAGGGAATTTTCTATTCCTTCGTGATCGACTGTAATTTTATATAATATTTGTAAGGCAAATGAAATATTATGTACAGCATACCTGACAGTAAATAATAAGTATCTACCTTACATCTATACAAGGATCAAATTATATAGGCATGTATTATGCGTGTGTTCTACTTTCTTAGTTGGATCGTTAGTGCTATGTAAGATTGATATCAGATCTAAGTAATTGTATAAGTCATTTTCTTATGATTTTTTCATCATCTTCTACCATAATTTCTTTCTCAACTCACGTTCGATAGAAATAACCAATATTATAATATTGGGTTGTTTGGAAAGTAATTTTTCGTTTTTCTTTTGTGAAAATGAAGACAACTTTCGTTTCAAAGTTAAACTGAAGCTTTTCAAGTTGGCTTAACCCTTTCAATACTGAATTATTTGATGATTTTTATTATTAATATATTTATATATTTAATTTGTTGCTATATGGATTAGATTTTCGTTAGAATATATTTATATTGGTGATATAAATATATTTTTGCGATAACATTTCAATTGAAAAATATAAATAAATATATAAATAAAACAAAATAGAAATATTTATATATTTTATATATTTATATAGGCTTTTTAAATTCAGATTACGAGTCTCACTTGTCAAATGTATCCAAAGGGTTAAACAGATGAATTTGATAAATTTAATCTCTCACCGATCTTACGTGTTGTTATTTACCGGTTTACATTAACTAATGCACCTTTATTGAGTCAAATTACTTTCTGAACAATCTATTATTATTATATTTTTCTTTTATTTATTATATAACATAATCACGCACACATATTGTTTCTAGAAAGTTTTAGTTACGTTTAACGTATACAAACTTTGTATACAGTTCTCTTTCAGTAGAAATCAATTGAATGCCGAATTTCGAAACCGCGAACAGACGAATTTGGAAATTCGATACTTGCACAGACTTGGTTCGTTTTAGGAAGTTTGTCATTCGAAATCGGCGTGTGTGTTGTGCATCGTCTATGTTTCACCATCATTTCCAATTCTCGTTTACGTAGTATCAAACGTACGAATACCAATCCAATGCGAATTGATTTTCGTAATTTGACGATGATAGTCGAGGAACTAACTTTCTGTCAATTGCAAGTACTGCAACGTAAATATATATATGTCATCGCTTTGAAACTGACTTTGTTAGGAATTGCATTATCAAAATTTTATGATATAGTCACCATTATCACTAATCAGTGTGGTCAAATCCTGAAAACGTGGTCAAAAGTTCAACGTGTAGTTTCACTTTATTGGAAATTAGTATTTCAATATTTCGAGGTTGCTGACTATTTTTTCTTTTTTTTTTTTTTGAACACAATAATTAATTTAAAATCAATTATTGTGTTTTAATTTTATTGTTAAAAATGTATTTTTCTATTTTTAAAAGTTTCTATTTAAAAGCTTACATTCACTTCTAATTATATTTATTTGTAATTATGTAAAGTAATGGATAAAGTGGTAAAATCGTACATTACATTGCATTTTATGTCAAGCAAGATTGAAAAATAAGAATAAGTAAAAAAAAAAAAATCGATAGTTACGACGAAAATTTATCGAACGTCATAAAAATAGTTCGCATTAATTTGAACCTTATTGAAAATGAAAAAACATAACATTACCTTTTTATTTCAACACACAAATAGTAGTAGTAGTAGTACTAATAGTATCGTATACTTGAATAAAACTGAAGTAGCCAGAAAAGGGTATGAACTCTACAAGGGAATATAAGTCCTGGTAAGAAAAAAAAGTCAAAAAAATATTTTCTTCGTAGCATTAAGAGATCGCGTGGGAAGAATTTTTTAGCTTTTGGGTGAAAGCAGCAGCAAACTACYAGCAGCAGCAGCTTTTCGGAGAAAGGCAATTAAGGATTGTCCAGCAGGTTTGGTGCCCATCGTCTTTAACCACGAACGTAGGAGAAAAGGTAGTTTGCTGAGAAGAAAAACGTCTCCGATATCAGTGCCGATGACCTAAGACGAAGGGACTGGGAATCGTTTCTCGCTCGCAGAACCATTGAAACGAACGGTAATGTCCTCCAGTCGGACAGAAATGAAATTCGCGTGATTTAGTCGTTCGAATTCACGGACACACATGCACATACACATATACAATCGAGAAAAGATAAATCCTATTCGAAAGATACTCTCTTCTTTTTTCTCATTTTCTTTCTTCTATCTATCCTATACGTTTACCGTTTACTATTCTCTTCTATGAATTATCTCATAAATTTTTGTAAACGCATATTCTCTTTTCATAAGCATAAATTTTAGTTATATAAGAACTTGCCGCCAATGTCTTTTTTTTTATTTTCGAGTAGATTCAACGGAATATAAAATAGAGAAACAACTAGAAAAGATTTCATTTAATGATTACGTTATACCCACTACTCGTATCCGTGTAGTAATAGTAGTTGTTCCTGGTTAGTCGACGAGAAAAGTACCTTTTTAACCATTTTCACACGTCGATAAGTATAATGTCCATGTGAGGGTGTATGGTAGACTCGTAAACGATGGACACGAACGAGGGTGTTATTGTAAATAAAAGGGGTAAAAGACTACTACTGCATCTCAACGAGTAAAATAAGGTACGTCTGTGGATAAACAATAAATTGTTTAGTATAAGCACTTTTCCCTCCTCCCCCTACCTTCCGTTAACGCATCACTAGGGAATTAAATAAAGTAAAAGGTAAACTATCCTTTATTTCTCGTAGAACGAACGAACAAGTTGGAATTTGATTTTCGTTTCACCTTTAATGGTAGTAAGTTCTGATTTTGTTCGAATCAGCCCTGACCTAGGTCCACCTTCTCTACGCTTCAAAGAGTCAAACATACACACGCACGAATAATCGATGAGAAAGGCAGAGAGAGAGAGAGAGAGAGAGAGGATAAACAGGACTACTACCAAGATTTCAGATTTAACCCAATTTGCAATACGAGTTGCTTCGTCGGATTGGCTCTAAATTCCCCTCTCTAGTTCTGTCTTTGTCTAACCATCCTATCCAACTATATATCCATCCATTCAACCATCCATTCATCCATTCATCCGTTCATCCATCTATTTATCCATCCATCTATCTATCTATCTATCTACCCATCCATCCATCCATTTAGTTCTTTTTCTTTCGTTGGTACACTAATACGAACGGTTCGATGAAGTGTCGACATCGCTTACAGATCAAAGTAAACGTGTGCTTTGTAAATTAGGATCGATCTGATATGTAAACGTTCAACGCTTATTACTAACCGCATTTATAATGCGATGGTTACTACTGAGACAGGTTTGTGGTTCGTCCATTTCGATTTAAATGACGTTATGCATTCTCTCTTTAACTCATACTTTCTTGTTGTTTTTCTTTTTTGTTTGTTGAGGTTATGTGTATTTGTTTCTTTTCTTTTCTAACCGATCCAACTTTTTTATCGAGTAACTTGATTCGTGGCCACTTTGAAAGTTTGGTGTCGAGTATCGTTTAAACTGGCAGGTCAAATTAAGAGTAAGAGGGTTTCAGATTTAAGACATTTTTACAATATTGATAGGTGGTAAATCAAAGGAAAGTTAAAAATAACGATATTATATAATGGTCTATTAAATTTAATGACCACATTTTTCAACGAATTATGTTCATTCGACTTGAATAATAACGTTATATATTTTAATCGAAACAAAAGAATTCTTTCGATAATCCATTTTTTTTTTAAACATTCACAGGTAATTACATGATTCGTATCTCATTATAGAAACCCTTTGCATTTATAAGTCGAATAAAAGCTGTGATGATCGTTTGACCCATCTAATGAAATTCAAATAAAAATACCAACCAACTTAATGTATATTTGTATACAAAAGTAGGATCTAATTTGAAATAGATAGAAGAAGCCCTAACTCGTTTCAACTGTTTAAGTTTAAAGAGGATGAAGAAAGTTTTTATAAGAAAAAGCAGAAAGAGGAATGGAAGAGGGGGGAAGGGATGACCTTTCGTCGTTTGCGGTATCCCAAGTTAACTTACACATATATTGACAGTTGCAATTTTAAAAGCATTTGAGTGTCAAGGGGTAAAAGTCCACTTTTAATCCCCCAACTCGTTTCATAGGATTTTGATTTTTTTTTCCCTGCTCCCAGTTTTCTTGTTTTCACATCGATCCTTGAAAAACGAGAAAGAGGAGGAGGAGGAGGAGGAGGAGGAGGAGGAGGTGCAGATGGAGGACGACAGAATCAGCCGCTTTGTCATCAGATCGTAGTCTCGCTTATTCGTTTTTATTTACTTTTCTTCTTCTTTAGACGCGAGCGGTTACAGACGATAATTCACCGACACGGCAGACCATTTATTTACCGTCGCGGCATCGCGGTTTCACTTGGTGCAAAAGATGCGACTACT